CGTTACACTTGTTGACGGAGAAAAAAGCGGCGTAACTTGAATAAACATTCCTTTAAGAAGTATGCCATGCTCAACCATACGATCAACAAGGCGCTCTTCTTTAAGAAATACCACCACCGCTTTATTCATCCGTGACGCATAAGCAACATTCTCATATCCTACCTTCTCTCCTACGGCGACCAGAACCTCTTCCACCGTGACAGTAGCTTCAGTAACACACCTAAAGCCGTGCCGAAGTGACAGGGACGGCGTCCCAATTCGGGCCGCCATCCCCACCAAAATCAGGGTAATTTCGACACGAAAAACAATATACTTAATTCTACCACAACAAAAAAATAGAAATAATAACCTTAATCATGAATAGAAGAAAAAAGGATATCACCAAGAAAAGGAAAACCCAGGATATCTAACTCTACACAACACTCGCACTTAGCACTCACTCAAACAATTCCCAGCACGCACCAAACACTCCCAGCATGCAGAGAGAGAGAGAGAGAGAGAGAGAGAGAGAAATAATAACAGAGACAGAGAGACACAGAGAGAGGAACAGAGGATCGAGAGAGAGGCACAGACAGGCAGTCAGACAGAAAGACACAGAGAGCGAGAGAGAGAGAGAGAGAGAGAGAGAGAGAGAGAGAGAGAGAGAGAGAGAGAGAGAGAGAGAGAGAGAGAGAGAGAGAGAGAGAGAGAGAAAATTCTGAGTAAGTAATATGTTCTCTTTTTGAATTTCCTACACAGTACACATGTGACCTAATATATACACTACCGGTCAAAAGTCTTAGAACACCTACTCATTCCAGGGTTTTTCTTCATGTTTACTATTTTCTACATTGTAGAATAATAGTGAAGACATCAAAACGATGAAGCAACACATATGGAATCATGTAGTAACCAACAAATTAAAATATATGTTATATTTTAGATTCTTCAAATAGCCACCCTTTGCCTTGATGACAGCTTTGCACACTCTTGGCATTCTCTCAACCAGCTTCAAGAGGTAGTCACCTGGAACGCATTTCAATTAACAGGTGTGACTTCTTAAAAGTTAATTTGTGGAATTTCTTTCCTTCTTAATGCGTTTGAGCCAATCTGTTGTGTTGTGACAAGGTAGGGGTGGTATACAGAAGATAGCCCAATTTGGTAAAAGACCAAGTCCATATTGTGGCAAGAACAGCTCAAATAAGCAAAGAGAAACAACAGTCCATCATTACTTTAAGACATGAATGTCAGTCAATACGGAACATTTCAAGAACTTTGAAAGTTTCTTCAAGTGCAGTCGCAAAAACCATCAAGCGCTCTGATGAAACTGTCTCTCATGAGGACCGCCACAGGAATGGAACACCCAGAGTTACCTCTGCTGGAGAGGGTAAGTTATTTAGTGTTAATAGCCTCAGAAATTGCAGCCCAAATAAATGCTTCATAGAGATCAAGTAACAGACACATCTCAACATCAACTGTTCAGAGCGGACTGTGTGAATCAGGCCTTCATGGTCGAATTGCTGCTAAGAAACCACTACTAAAGGACACAAATAAAAAGAAGAGACTTGCTTGGGCCAAGAAACATGTGGAAATTAGTCTGGAGTCCAAATTTGAGATTTTTGGTTCCAACCGCCACGTCTTTGTGAGACGTGGTGTGGGTGAACGGATGTGGTTCCCACCGTGAAGCATGGAGGAGGAGGTGTGATGGTGTGGGGGTGCTTTCGCTGGTGACACTGTCTGTGATTTATTTAGAATTCAAGGCACTCTTAACAAGCATGGCTACCACAGCATTCTGCTGCGATACGCCATCCCATCTGGTTTGCGCTTAGTGGGATTATAATATATTTTTAAACAGGACAATCTCCCAATACATCTCCAGAGTGATGGAGTGCTGCATCAGATGACCTGGCCTCCACAATCCCCCGACCTCAACCAAATTGAGATGGTTTGGGATGAGTCGGACCGCAGAGTGAAGGAAAAGCAGCCAACAAGTGCTCAGCATATGTGGGAACTCCTTCAAGACTGTTGGAAAAGCATTCCAGGTGAAGCTGGTTGAGAGAATGCCAAGAGTGTGCAAAGCTGTCATCAAGTCAAAGGGTGGCTATTTGAAGAATCTCAAATATAAAATATATGTTGATTTGTTTAACATTGTTTTGGTTACTACATGAATCCATATGTGTTATTTTATAGGTTTGATGTCTTCACTATTATTCTACAATGTAAAAAAATAGTAAAAATAAAGAAAAACCCTTGAATGAGTAGGTGTGTTCAAACTTTTGACTTACATTTACATTTACATTTTCGTCATTTAGCAGACGCTCTTATCCAGAGCGACTTAAAAATTGGTGAATTCACCTTATGATAGCCAGTGGGACAAATACTTAACAATTTTTTTTTTAATGTTTTTGGAGGGGGGTTGGGTAAGGGGGAGTAGAAGGATTACTTTATCCTATCCCAGGTGTTCCTTAAAGAGGTGGGGTTTCAAGTGTCTCCGGAAGGTGGTGAGTGACTCCGCTGTCCTGGCGTCGTGAGGGAGCTTGTTCCACCATTGGGGTGCCAGAGCAGCGAACAGTTTTGACTGGGCTGAGCGGGAACTGTGCTTCCGCAGAGGTAGGGGGGCCAGCAGGCCAGAGGTGGATGAACGCAATGCCCTCGTTTGGGTGTAGGGACTGATCAGAGCCTGAAGGTACGGAGGTGCCGTTCCCCTCACAGCTCCGTAGGCAAGCACCATGGTCTTGTAGCAGATGCGAGCTTCTATATACACTTGTAGTGTATATATAGAGAGAGTCCGAAGAAAAAGGAAGATTAAAAGAAGCAGAAAGGAAAGTCATGTTTCAGACAAAAGAGGTGCCATCTTGAAACAATTCATTCATGACGCTCTAAGAGGGTTTGAGAAAGTGTGTCTATTTTAGTTATTATAGTGAGTAAAGGTTTTGTGTTTTAGTCCGTGACATATTACTTGCAAGGAAAATGTCATGTTTTTTCTTCCTTCAGGTGGGATAAAAGGAACCTTGGTCACACATTCATATATAACCCTAGCTAAATATTAGTCCAGACAGTGCACACTAAATATCTCACAGGTTTAACAAGAGAGTATCACCACAAAAAGCGGAAGTGGTTTCTGCAGCTCTTTCACAGTATCATGTGTGTGTATATCGGCGCACTGAAAAGGACACATCTGAGACACATTTTGGAGGAGTGTGTTTTTCTTCTTCTTTTTTTGCCGAAACAAAAGAGCTCTGTTGACCACAGACAGACATGCAAAACTGCCTCCCCCCACCACCACCCCCGTCCTACCCAGGAACAGTAACAAAGTGAAGTGGCACATTGACAATAGAGACCAGGGTGGACTGCCTTTAATCATCATATGCCAAAACAGAGAAATCAATATGTAATCCATCGGAGAGGCAACTATAGGTAAGATAATGGTAATGTTAAAATGTAAAAAAGGAACATTATTGAAACTGTTGGTCACCCAAGAATATGGAAATATAATAATATGCCATTTAGCAGACGCTTTTATCCAAAGCGACTTACAGTCATGCATGCATACATTTTTGTGTATGGGCGGTCCCGGGGATCGAACCCACTACCTTGGCGTTACAAGCGCCGTGCTCTACCAGCTGAGCTACAGAGGACCATGTAGCACATTGGCAACATGGGTGTTCTATTTGTGAAGGAGATATAGTTATATGATAGGCAGACTGGTGCAATTTACATGCTGAATCAATGTGTATGTTTGCTGTTGTATACAAGTTGTATTCCACTGTGGTATGAGTCTAAATGAAGAGTTTATTTCCAAAACGCTACATCCACAACAGTTTATCAGTTGTGTTTTTTCATCAGAAATTATTGCCTATGGCAAACTGTTCTCCGATTGTTTTATTCCTAGATTTTAGATGTGTATGATATTATAATTTAGATGTTTTTAACACTATACTGTATATCCATTGTTTAGCTGGAATGCAATGTTCATATCCTGTATATTTGACTGTGATATGTGGTTGTCTCACCTAGCTATCTTAAGATCAATGCACTAACTATAAGTCTCTCTGAATAAGAGTATCTGCTAAATAACTAAAATGTCAAGTTTTACATACAGATCTCATATGTATTGAATATTTGTAGCACTTTTTAAATATTAATGTCACAAATGTATCATTTGTACATTTATTTATTACAAATGTAGTTATTTGTTACATTTGACTGTCAAACCTAGCAGTTCTACTTATTTATCTGAGAGTGAGGCGGATATATAGCATTTTGCAAATATAAACATTATTATTTGTCTCTCTGAAATTAAACGAGTGGTAGATTTTAAACAAATACATGTCTGTCATTGAACAACCCCATGCCATGATTAGATAATGAAAAAACACACCAATCTCTTTCATTATTTCTTTAAACAATAAAAGCTAATTTACCAACATTTCTGAACATGGATATACCATTTTGGAATGAAACTCTTCAAATGTATTCACGTTTAGTGAAACATGAGATATACTGAAAGTACTGTTTGTTTGTTTCTTTCGTAGAGCACAAACATATTTACAAAATATGGGGAAGACTACATTGAGAACCTTAATTATCTGTGGTGAGCAAGCTTTTATGCATGTGTGTGAATCTTGAATTGTAGTAACACTTGTATGTACCAAAAACGAATTACATATGCATGTGTGTGTGTATGTGTGTGTATGTGTGTGTGTGTGTGTGTTTTAGTATCCACAGTGTGTAGTGCTTTAGGTTGTGTAGTGACCGGCCCAGACCAGAAGGAGGTTCCGGTAGGCTCTAATGTCCGACTGTCCTGCATCCTCACTCAGTGTTTGAAAAGTCTGGGACATCACCAACTCCATGTGGAGTGGGAGTTCACTGACAAGGTAAACCCCTCAAAAGATTTAATGTAGGATTGCTGCAGTAATATTGTGTTTTCTAAAAAGTGACATAGATATATAGTATACATTCAGTATTATTTGTATTTGTACTAGACTTGAGCACCAATACATTCATAATAACAGGGCTTAATGGATAAAGACCGGCACCATCTAATATACCACTACCAAGACCAAACCGTCATCGTTGAACCCAGAGTGTTTCTGGTTGGGAACATCTCTGAAGGTGACTTCTCGCTCCTGCTGCTGTCAGTGACAGTCCAATCTAGTGGCACATACCTGTGTCGTCTGCGTCCTCCACCCGGCAATCCAGACATCCATGAGAGTCACACACAGCTCACAGTGGTGGAGAGATCAGGTACATACTTTATTTTAAAAAGATAACAGTTGGACTTCCTAAGCAAGTATTACATACAATTATATGTACAAAACAAAATATATGTGTACATGCTGAAAAGGGAGTTGGGCTATTCAAATCAGATTGACAGATTATCTTTTGTCTTTACACCTTGATTTCCCAGGGCAGCACAGGAGATTCCCAGGAGATTTCCATAAACTTGATGTAACCCATCCTAATTGGCTATTGCCTCTCTGCTGCATGCTTTTGTTGCTGTTCCTGGTGGGCGGAGTCACAGCAGGAATGTGGGCGTGCCGGAGGAGGTCACAGCAGCAACAAAATGACCAGGGGTGAGATAATGCTGAGAGAGACCAGCAGGTGGACATGAGAGAAAGGAGAAGACAAGGAGAGAGCAGGGTCAAAAAACATATACAAGATATGCCTATTTTAGAGGCAGAGAGAAATAGGACAAAAATATTGGAGACATGAAACGCTATCCTAAAACCAATGAAAGCTACATTTTTAAAAATGTTCTTTCAGTCACATCCAGGTGAACATAATACGCGGAGAAGACACACAGGAAGCCAATGGAAACAAGGTAACTGCTGGACACACATGGAAACAATAACATACAAGCATTCATACAAACACACAAACCAACATGCAAAAACTCAGGTAACACTCATCTTCTGACTCTCTCTCTCTCTCTCTCTCTCTCTCACTCACTCTCTCTCTTTCTCTCTCTCACACACTTCTTCTCGCTGCTCCCCTCTCAGTCAATCAATAAACCAATAATATCCCATCCCTATGTGCTGCATTGGTGTCTTCATCTACTCTGATGTCCCAGCTGTGTAACACTTCCTTCTGTAACACAGACTGTACCTGCTCTCTCTAACACAATACAGGACCCAAACTGCTATGTCACACTCCAGAGGTTCAGGGCCCCGCCCCCGCCCCCTCCCACACCCTCTAGAGGAGAGGGCATCTATGTTACCATGGTGAGCACACTGTGTACAGAACAGAGGCTTTAATTAATCTTTTTTGAGATGATCATACAGCCATTTCTGACATTCAATACAGTAATCTCCTTCGTATCTCTCTCCTTCCTGGATCTAGCACGGCACTCCCACTGGGCCTCCAGGTGTCCATTCCCAGCCCCAGACTCACCCCAGCAGAAAGACTCTCCCAGAAGAGTGGCTGCAGCAGGAAATACCCACAAAGCCCCAACACTTCCCTGGAACACCTCCAAGCAACCCTCCCCAAAGACTCAGACACAAGGAACTGCTGTGTTGAGGCTAATAGCTTGGCTATTTCAAATGGAGAGAATAAACAAATCTCCCATTGTTCCATTGTGACATTGCAGAAGAACCACTGTGTTTGAGTCATTTCAGAAGGGGTGAAAGTCTGTTACTTTGGAAGAGAATCCAGAACCACCTATATCCACATTCATCTCTGACACTATAATCAGAGTGGTTATTGAAGTTAGGAAAAATAAGATTCCTATAATTTAGCTATATAAAGATAATGTATTACTATTACTTAGAATATCCTTCCTTCTTGCTAATGGTCCCCTTGGGCAGAGAAGTCCTCTCAGCTCTTAAGTGTAACCCTAACAGAGATGGAACAGTTATTATGTTTGACAGGTAGGGATTTTAAAAACAGGAAGTGGGGAAAGGGGTAATCTTGCACATGGTTTCATCCACCAGCCAGCTCTCTCTGTAGCAATTATCCTGGTTACATTCCACGGGAGATATACAGGACATTCACAGAACATTGCATAGGACATTCACAGACCATGCACAGGACAATCCATTACATGTAGCCTTCCTGTAGATACTTTTTGCAAGGGTGTGATTTGTTTTTCCTAATTTATGATGGGCTGTCTTGGTGTGAAGTTTTTAAGTTGGTCTTTATTGACAGAAAAATCAATAAACAATGATTTTGCTAAAACTGGCTAAAACTGTTCTTCAAAACTGGCTTGCCTTTCTTGCACATAATAATATAAATAATATGCCATTTAGCAGACACTTTTATCCAAAGCAACTTACAGTCATGTGCGCATACATTTTTACGTATGGGTGGTCCCGGGGATCAAATCCACTACCCTGGCGTTACAAGCGCCATGCTCTACCAATTGAGCTACAGAGGACCACCTGACAGTTAGAGAAATAGGTAGATACTTTCACTTCCACTTCTGATGAGACGCTAGATTGTTTCGTTTGATTATTCAACAAGCATACCAGCTCTCTGTTATTGGTAAGCTGATTTGCTATATAACCGAATGGTGAGCGACATTTGATGTAGCCTTTGCCCTTAGTCCCAGAGTGTTCCTCTCTCAGAGTTGTGGCTGAACGCTGCGCTTGTTGTCCAACATTATTGGGCAGCTTAGTTTCAACACGGATCAATGTCATTGATGCCCATCGACAGCAGACTTTAAAAAGATTGCGTATTATTACATATCATTACACCACTGGATTGCCCACCACTGGATTGCATATCATTACACCACTGATGGAGCATGACTGCAGTTAACACGTTATGTTGAAGTCTTAATAGACGCAAATTATGATAATATATACAAAAATGCATTATATTATTTCATCTTCCTATCAATCTCCTCCACTGTTTATCTATTATTTTTTCACGTTTATTTAACCAGGTAAGCCAATTGAGAACAAGTTCTCATTTACAACTGCGACCTGGCCAAGATAAAGCAAAGCAGTGCGATAAAAACAACAACACAGAGTTACATATGGAGTAAAACAAAACATAAAGTTATTATATATATATATATTATATATATAAAGTCAAAAATACAACAGAAAATAGAAAATATATACAGTGGGGGAAAAAAAGTATTTAGTCAGCCACCAATTGTGCAAGTTCTCCCACTTAAAAAGATGAGAGAGGCCTGTAATTTTCATCATAGGTACACGTCAACTATGACAGACAAAATGAGGGAAAAAAATCCAGAAAATCACATTGTAGGATTTTTTATGAATTTATTTGCAAATTATGGTGGAAAATAAGTATTTGGTCACCTACAAACAAGCAAGATTTATGGCCCTCACAGACCTGTAACTTCTTCTTTAAGAGGCTCCTCTGTCCTCCACTCGTTACCTGTATTAATGGCACCTGTTTGAACTTGTTATCAGTATAAAAGACACCTGTCCACAACCTCAAACAGTCACACTCCAAACTCCACTATGGCCAAGACCAAAGAGCTGTCAAAGGACACCAGAAACAAAATTGTAGACCTGCACCAGGCTGGGAAGACTGAATCTGCAATAGGTAAGCAGCTTGGTTTGAAGAAATCAACTGTGGGAGCAATTATTAGGAAATGGAAGACATACAAGACATTTACATTTTAGTAGACGCTCTTATCCAGAGCGACTTACAGTTAGTGAATACATATATATATATATTTTATACTGGCCCCCCGTGGGAATCAAACCCACAACCCTGGCATTGCAAACGCCATGCTCTATCAACTGAGCTACATCCCTGCAGGCCATTCCCTCCCCTACCCTGGACAATGCTGGGCCAATTGTGCGCCGCCCATGATTCTCCCGGTCGCGGCCGGCTGCGACAGAGCCTGGATTCAAACCAGGATCTCTAGTGGCACAGTTAGCACTGCGATGCAGTGCCTTAGACCACTGCGCCACTCAGGAGACACTCAGAGACCACTGATAATCTCCCTCGATCTGGGGTTCCACGCAAGATCTCACCCCGTGGGGTCAAAATGATCACAAGAACGGTGAGCAAAAATCCCAGAACCACACGGGGGGACCTAGTGAATGACCTGCAGAGAGCTGGGACCAAAGTAACAAAGCCTACCATCAGTAACACACTACGCCGCCAGGGACTCAAATCCTGCAGTGCCAGACGTGTCCCCCTGCTTAAGCCAGTACATGTCCAGGCCCGTCTGAAGTTTGCTAGAGTGCATTTGGATGATCCAGAAGAGGATTGGGAGAATGTCATATGGTCAGATGAAACCAAAATATAACTTTTTGGTAAAAACTCAACTCGTCGTGTTTGGAGGACAAAGAATGCTGAGTTGCATCCAAAGAACACCATACCTACTGTGAAGCATGGGGGTGGAAACATCATGCTTTGGGGCTGTTTTTCTGCAAAGGGACCAGGATGACTGATCCGTGTAAAGGAAAGAATGAATGGGGCCATGTATCGTGAGATTTTGAGTGAAAACCTCCTTCCATCAGCAAGGGCATTGAAGATGAATCATGGCTGGGTCTTTCAGCATGACAATGATCCCAAACACACCGCCCGGGCAACAAAGGAGTGGCTTCGTAAGAAGCATTTCATGGTCCTGGAGTGGCCTAGCCAGTCTCCAGATCTCAACCCCATAGAAAATCTTTGGAGGGAGTTGAAAGTCTGTGTTGCCCAGCGACAGCCCCATAACATCACTGCTCTAGAGGAGATCTGCATGGAGGAATGGGCCAAAATACCAGCAACAGTGTGTGAAAACCTTGTGAAGACTTACAGAAAACGTTTGACCTGTGTCATTGCCAACAAAGGGTATATAACAAAGTATTGAGAAACTTTTGTTATTGACCAAATACTTATTTTCCACCATAATTTGCAAATGAATTCATAAAAAATCCTACAATGTGATTTTCTGGATTTTTTTTTCTCATTTTGTCCGTCATAGTTGAGGTGTACCTATATCTTTTTAAGTGGGAGAACTTGCACAATTGGTGGCTGACTAAATACTTTTTTCCCCCACTGTATACAGTGTGTGCAAATGTAGCAAGTTATGAAGGCAAGGCAATAAATAGGCCATAGTACAAAATAATTACAATTAGTATTAACACTGGAATGATAGATCTGCAAGAGATGATGTGCAAATAGAGATATTGGGGTGCAAATGAGCAAAATAAATAACAATATGGGGATGAGGTAGTTGGGTGGGCTAATTTCAGATGGGCTGTGTACAGGTGCAGTGATCGGTAAGGTGCTCTGACAACTGATGCTTAAAGTTAGTGATGGAGATAAGAGTCTCCAGCTCCAGAGATTTTTGCAGTTCGTTCCAGCCATTGGCAGCAGAGAACTGGAAGGAATGGCGGCCAAAGGAGGTGTTGGCTTTGGGGATGACCAGTGAGATATACCTGCTGGAGCGCATACTACGGGTGGGTGTTGCTATGGTGACCAATGAGCTAAGATAAGGCGGGGATTTGCCTGGCAGGGTTTTATAGATGGCCTGGAGCCAGTGGGTTTGGCGACGAATATGTAGTGAGGACCAGCCAACAAGAGCGTACAGGTCACAGTGGTGGGTAGTATATGGGGCTTTGGTGACAAAACGGATGGCACTGTGATAGACTACATCCAATTTGCTGAGTAGAGTGTTGGAGATTATTTTGTAAATGACATCGCCGAAGTCAAGGATCGGTTGGATAGTCAGTTTTACGAGGGCATGTTTGGAGATGCTTAATGTGAGTCTGGAAGGAGAGTTTACAGTCTAACCAGACACCTAGGTATTTGTAGTTGTCCACATACTCTAGGTCAGACCCGTCGAGAGTAGTGATTCTAGTCGGTGGGCGGGTGCCAGCAGCGTTCGATTGAAGAGCATGCATTTAGTTTTACTTGTGTTTAAGAGCAGTTGGTGGCTACGGAAGGAGTGTTGTACGGCATTGAAGCTCGTTTGGAGGTTTGTTAACACAAAGGGGGGTCTGTAGCAAGCGGCAACAGTGAGAGCTTTTTTCTGGAAAGTTTGATTTTTAGAAGTAGGAGCTCAAACTGTTTGGGCACAGACCTGGATAGTATGATAGAGCTCTGCTGGCTATCTCTACAGTAGATTGCAACTCCATCCCCTTTGGCAGTTCTATCTCGACGGAAAATGTCATTGTTGGGGATGGAAATGTCTGAATTTTTGGTGGCCTTCCTAAGCCAGGATTAAGACACTGCTAGAACATCAGGGCTAGCGGAGTGTGCTAACACAGTGAATAACTCAAACTTAGGGAGGAGGCTTCTGATATTAACATGCAAAAAAACAATGCTTTTACGGTTACAGAAGTCAACAAATGATAGCTCCTGGGGAGTAGGAGTGATACTAGGGGCTGCAGGGCCTGGGTTAACCTCTTCATCACCAGAGGAACAGAGGAGGACTATAATAAGGATACGGTTAAAGGCTTTAAGAACTGGTCTTCTAGCGCGTTGGGTACAGAGAGTAAAGGGGGCAGATTTCCGGGTGTTGTAGAATAGATTCAGGGCATTATGTACAGACAAGGATATGGAAGGATATGATTACAGTGGAAGTAAACCTAAGCGTTAGGTAA